TCTCAAAATCGTGATTTTGCAGCTATCCCCTTTTCTATAGTCCATGCCCCATATGTGAATTGCGAATTCACATAATTTCATTTTCACGTACAACAATACTAAATCCTTGCAAGCATATTTAGATAAAGAAAGGATTATTTATTTATTTTTAGAGAACTATTGTTTATTTCTAAAAAAAAAAAAAGAATTGAAGAAAATTATTATTTTGCATTTGATTATGTTTTTATTTATTGAATGTAATTAAGATCAATGACATAAAATTCATACTAATATCACTATGTAATATGTAAGTCAATAAAAATAATAAAAATAAAAATTATTATCATGTCAATATATAATATTAACACACTTATCACTTTGGAATAATTCTATTATTTATTTACTTGATCTAACTCTAAAGTCATCTATCTCTTAGGTGATAAATTAGTTAAAATTATATTATTTTGTTCCAGAGTACTGTTTCTTGTTTTATTTATTACTACATTATTTATAAAATCTATATTTTTAAGATTATTGTTGATTATTTTATTTAAGGGTATTAAAATATTGCATAATTTTATTATCTCTGTGGTTGTTTCTTGTCTATTTGTTGACATCACCAAGGGAGAATCAAATGACTTAATTAAACACATTCTGTAAAAAGGTAGCAATTTATAATCCATAAGATAAATATCCAGTTTAGTATTGTTGTATGTGAAATTGAAATTATGTTTAAAATTTCATTTAGTTTATATTCCAACTTCTTTGAATCATCAAAGCTTTTGATAAAATGCTCGTAATTACTTAAACTGACTTTTGAAAATTTCCCAAGATAGATTTTATCATTTTCTATATGTTCTAGATGACTTGCAGTATCTTTTATATAGGGACCATTACTAATTTCAATGTATAGAAATTCATAATTAAATGAATAAGCTACATTTTCTTTATAAAATACACCATCTGGATATTTAGTAGGACCATATTTTCCAGCATTTTGTTTTTTCGTTGCTTCTGAAAGATGCCCACAATGTTATAAAAGATAAAATCCACAATCTGATGGGAATAAGATCTTTCATTGATTGTTTCTGATTGTTCTTGATATGATTTCATTTTCCAAACAATTTGGAATTGTGTCAAAAAGTAATTAAAATGCAATAAAATATTCAATCTTCATCTATTCTATCTGGAATAGTAATTGATCCATATAAAATATAATTATGAACGAAAGCATTTTCTTGATTTGTTAAACACATTGAATCATGCCATTCAATATATGTAAAACTACCCAAATATTCATTCTTTATAATTATTTGATATAACTTTTGATTATATAATCCTATATGATTTATCTCAAGAATGCCATCTGATATCAAATCATTTGGGGTTAACTTAATTTTATCTATTACATTGATAATGAGACATGATGTTTTTGACATGTTAAAAGTTCCACTTATCTAATATAAAAAACGTTAATATAGTTAATATTTTATTAATAAATAGGATTCCATAAAATTCCTATATAGGTAAGCAAGAAAAAAAATTTTTTAACCTTTCTTTTCATCAGATTCAACAAATGACAAATCAACAATTTCTTCAGTATATGTCGGGTCTTCACTATTATTATTGTCATCTTCCTCTTTTCCATCACTGTCAAAGTTGTATATGTATAACTATTTGACATAATATATGAAGCCAGTATGTAAATTTATCAAAAACAAAACAATTCTATCTATTTGAAAATATAATTTGCTTACACTTTCTTGTAGTGGTATCCTTTGTTTTGGGTACCTCACATTACTAAGGAGCAATCAAGGTTAATGAAACTGTCAAACATATAAATAAACTAGAGTAATGACAAGTGGTGGGCAATAACCACCACCATCCTTAAAACACTTTCAAATTCTTCATGATTTTGTTTACTTCTTTTTCTCATTGTTTTAGAAGTAGACATTTTTGAGAAAAGAAGTTTGTTATTTGATCAACGTGTACACATTAATTATTTATCCTATTGGTTTTTTTTTGGGAGGACTGACACAAATTGGTTGATTTTTTTTTTTTTTTTTGGAAAAACATTAAAACTAATTTATTTTTTGACAGTTCAAGGTGACAAAACATGAGTGTTGTTGTTTGGTTTGGGTCTCCTAAAGAAACGTGTTAATAACTAACCAGAGGTACTTTTTTTTATTTGTATTGATTGATATTTTTATTTTAGCTAATAAATATTTTAATTGGAAATCAAAACAAATCAAAACACAGAGCAGATCTTGCTTATACTTGCCGCCCATTCTCAAATCCTTAAATCTCATCCCATCCCATCCCATCCAACCCCAACCCAATCCCATATTCCAACCCATGTCCCATATTCCATATCCCATTGATAGAATTAACAAAATATATGTATATTTATTAATAAAAAATTTTATCATTTATAAAAATTATTAAAACCATAAAAACAATTAAAAAGAGAAATAATTCTGTAATTACAACAGAAAACAATCATTAATCAAAATTATGATTATCTAACAATTCATCAATGTCAAAATTTGTATCTCCATGATCAATATCATTTTCTTCATAAATTTCATTTGATAAAATATTATTATTAGACAATAAACTTGAATTCAAATCAATGCTTTCAGTAATAATTAAATGGCTATCATTAACATCATCCAAATTTATAACCTCTTCATCACAATTATCATCAAGATGACTAACATCTTCAAGATTATCATCTTGTCCAAAAAGATCATTTCCATTGGTAAATGATAAAGCAATTCGGTTAAATGTTTCATCAAGTTTTTCAACTGAAATTTCTTCAATTTGAATTATTATTTAATTGTATGACAAAAATATGATTGGTTAATTCGAGATGGGTTATGGGTTATGGGTTATGGGTTATGGGTTGTGGGTTATGGATTGTGGGTTGTGGGTTATGGGTTATGGGTTATGGGTTATGGGTTGTGGGTTGGGTTGTGGGTTATGGGTTGTGGGGTGGGATATGGGGATCGGGTGGGGATTTTACTAACCTCAAAGCCCCACCCACCCATACCCAATGGGAGGGGATTGTCCCATATCCCTTAGTATGAGCGGCAAGTATAGCATCAATGGGTAAATGAAAATCTAAAAGAAAACTCAAACCAAAGAAAAAACATGTGCTTGAAACACAATTTGATTGTGTCATTTGTAATCATGAAAGGAGTGTTGATCTGAAAATGTACTATCTTTTTATTTAAAAGTGCTTTCAAAACCAATTGGTTATAAGTTAATTTGTTTTGTTTTATAATTTAGGCAAAAAGAAGCAAAAATTGGTTATTTGACATGTAGAATATGCAATCCAGCTTTTCAAGCAACAATAAACCATAAATATAAACATCATAATAACAACTATAAATACCATAATAATAAAACTATAAATATCATAATAATAATTCAATATCATAATAATTATTATTATCATTCTTTCCCTTAGCATTAAGTGATCCAATAGATGTATATTCTGAATGGGTTGATTATACTGATGAAAATGTGGAAAATAGGAATGATGATAATGATGATAATAATAGGAAATCATCTACTCCTACTACTCCTAGAACTCCCATCCCCAAAGTCTATGATTCTGATATCATTGAAGAAGGTGATGATGATGATGATGATGATGATGGTGACTATTGAAATTTGAAATTGTTTAAACACAAAAATGATGTTTTTAGGAAGGAAAAAAATTATATATTATGTAGTATTACTACTATCATTTTTATTATTTAATACAAAGGCTACAACTTTCAGAAATTGTGGTTATTGTTTCATACAATGAACGAATCTGAATAGTTGAACATTTATAATTTGAATTTAAATTCAAGACTATTTTTCCCTAAAAATAACCTATACAACATTAGTAAAATAATCAATTCTTCTTGAACTACTTTATTGGTCTATTTTCTCATATAGTAATAATAACATTTTGTATTTTTGTATTACAACTCATAAACCAACTAGAATTTAAAACAGGAGAGACCATTCTGGGAACACAAAAATTAACAGGAGGGAACACAAAATTTTAACCCATGCTATTTGTTGATTGACCAATTAAAAATCGCGAATTTGATAAATGTAGAAATAAATATTAATATGGGTTTGATTCATTTTCTCAATAATCACTTCACCAACAATTGTTTCATTAATGAATTTAAGAAGTTGGAGGCAACCATTGAAATAGTCTAATAAATTAAATTGTACTACTCGAAAATGGATTTAAAGGGTTGGTTTTTGACTTGGTCAAAGAATAACTCTCTTCCTAACTCTTCTCTTGACCATATCTCTCGATATAATCAAAATAACCTTAATATAATGAATGTCAATGAAATGATTGTAAACACAACAAATTTAAGATACATGATTGTGATGAAAAATGAACAATGTATGAAAAATCAAACAAATTTATTTAATATATAAAAACAAAATTTACAACCCATAAAATATTTTTGTTCTAATAAAATTTCCATTGCTGCTGTCATCTGTTGCTGATTCAACATTACCCGGATCATCATCAACTGTATTTTCGTTATTTTCAATAAATTCATTTTCATTTAATATTTTTCATCATACTTTCTTTTAGTGTTGACATTTTTTTTGATTTCAACTTGAAGATATCAAACATTTAGATTGATATCTTTGTAGACAATGATTGTGATAACCATGTCCACATGTGAGTATATACACTACAATTATTCAAATTAGTATAGTTAGTGTAATCACATTATACGTAATTGCAAAAAATGTTTGTAGATGGTTCCTAGAAGTAACAAAGTTTTGGTAATTAAAGGATACTGATTGTCTCTGGACGTGAATCTATGATAATCGTTCACATTCAACAAGAATGTATTTTTTGAATAATTTGTAAGTGCATTCTACATAATTTCTCATGTTCATCTGTAACTTGCTTCGTTTTACGGTCTACTGCTCTTGATGTTGTAGTTACTCCAAGACTTGTATCTACCGAGTCTAGATAGAATGCAAGGTCGAACTTAAAAGAGTTAATTTTTGTATTATTTAAAACAAGAAGATAACACATGAACACCACCATTAATCTCTTCATATGGTCTATTACGTTCAAATGGCCAAGCTTCTAAATAGAGTTGGTCAAAAAACCTCTTCAAGCTTGGTTCTATTTCTTGGAGCAATCTTTGTATTTCATCAAAATCGTTTATAGGACCTTGATGGCTCTAGTGAAATCAATCTTTTCACTTACCTCTTCCTCTTCCTCTTCCCCTTCCGCATCTGTGGTTTTTACTCTCCTAGGTTCTCTTTTTAAAAGATTTTCTACAAAATTCATATAACAAATGTTA